TCTTCTGAATTGTTAGTGTACCACCCTGAGCTTCCTTAGTGGAATGCTATTAATGCTTGTCAGTACAATCCAGGCAATCTATTCCCTTTAATTTATTACTTTAGGTCTTTTCAACCAAGAAACATTGCAGTGCTCTCCATATACTTAAATTTCTTTTTAAACTTTTTACTTGGTGCCTTTGCTTAAATTAGAACTTACCTATTATTAATGTAAAAACTTTTATTGCTCCTAAATAAAGCTGAAGAGCAGACCAGCATTTAACACAAAGCATTCCCAAGGCAGGCCACCGACTAGACCTTCTCTGCCCGTTCCAGAAATACTGATTGTGGTTTTGTGGCAGTCCTAGACAAAGCAAGCCATCTACACAACAACTGCTCTCAGGTGGGGAAAAAAAAAACCAGTAAGAAACAGGGAGCAGGTCTCCTTCCAAGAGACCACATCATAAAACAAGGAGTGGAGATGAAAATCCGGATCTTGCCATTCTCACTCCTGTGTCAAGGAAACACTTTCTGTTCAGCTCAGTGATACGTTATGTTATAGTCTATCAGAGAAATACAAGGAAGCCAACCTTTCTACTACAGAGAATTTAAACAGCGTATTAGAATGAATTTTCTCAAATCAGAACCTGGCAAAGGGGAAAAAATGTGCTAGGGGACAAGTCCTTTGTCTTCCCAATGTTCCTGTTTCTCAAAATTGGAAGAATAATACAAGGGACAATATATTGTCCAAACGCTAAGCATCTTCTACCATGAACATAGTCTTAATAATGTCATCTTAAACAACAGAAATACGAAGTAAATTTCAACATTTGAATTTCCCATTAAATAACGGTCTCAAAATTTTAAAAAATAGGAAGCTAGTATGTTTTTCATCTTTTTCCTAAAATGAGGGACAGGCCTACATGGTGCACAAATCATCCAAGGTACTTCTGTATCAATGCTGCATTCTCTTGCTTTCTGTGGCTCAAAGTTTAGAGCTGCTTAGTAAGAAAATAAAGGATGAATCTGCCCCTTACTTCTGCTTGTAAACAAGACCCATCCAGCTTCAGGATCTAAAACAGAGAAAATGAAGAGAAAATACCTGATTTGGGCCACATGAAAAATCATACCAGACGTTAAGAAGGAAGTGGCAGTGCTATCCTGTTCCCCATGACTATTCTGAACTTGCAGAAGATGATCTGAAGTACACATCTGGGAGTGCACACATTGTCCACTGTCCACACTTGTGGCAGCACAGCTTCACCTCCTTCTACTACAAGCCCTCAGATGCTAGATCACAAACCCTTTACATTTACATGAGTTGCCTTCTCTTTCAAGGATCAAAATAAATGCTTTGTTAACTTTCAACACAAAGTACCATTTTCCGAGAGAAGTTTCATATGCAGCTTCATGGAAAACCCTGGATCGCAACAGCAGTGATAGCTGACATAATGCATGTTTCACTGATCTAGCAGCATTCTTTTGAAAGGAATGTGTCCAGGATATTTAAAAAAAAAAAGATAATTTTGGTGTTCATCCAAACTTTATTGAATTTTGTAAGCCAAACCCACGTCCTTCCCGTACAAAGCACATGCTTGGTCTTGATAACAGCTACATGATTGCTAGAGGTAAAATACCAACCTAGAGAGGTACCTTTTACACCAAAGGAATGAAATTAGCAGCAGAGGGTTTTTGTTGTTGTTTTTTTTCAAAACTTGAATTACTAAGCAAACCAACTTTATACCCTAGTAACGAGGTGATGAATCAGCAGCTGCAATTAAGCTTACAGTCATGTATCCTAGGAAGGAAACAGCAGGCCAGCACGAGGAAGAGTCATTCACACACTAAAACCCTCTTCTGTTGTGTAAATTGGCCACTGGCAGCAGCTTCCTGTACAAGAAGGGCTTCCCCAGATGTGCAGCGTGTTTCAGAACCTCACTGCTGTTGAGACTCCTCATTATAATGGATGCTAATTAGATCAAATCCACATCCAAAGCAATTTAAAAGAAACACCACCAATGAATCAAAGATGTCTTTCTTTTAGAAGATCAATATGAAGACGTGTGGTGGCAGTTTAGGCAACAGGATTTGACATGCTAAAGAGCTCTGCGTGTAACAAAAATACGCATTATTAATGGATAGAGCCCCATATGCAAAAAGCCTTAGAGCCCAGACAAGAAATAGATAGAAATCCCACCAAGTCTTTAGATAATAAAATATGACTTTGAGTCATTTTTGTTCTGACACAAGTTTACATTCAAGATCAGTCTACTAAACAACAGCTACCTGGAAAGTTTTACAGAGTCACTGTCAGGAATGCACAAGGTTTCCTCTCTTCCTCAGAGACTCTTCTTTAACAACCATCTGAAGTGCTCTAACTATGTCACAAGTACCTTAGCCTTCAGAAAAGTCAGTATGTCCTAGATTCTCATATGTATATTAGCAAGAATAGAAACAATTCAGCTGAATAACTTTTTCAGTTCATCTTGTAAATACTACAAACTGCATACATGCTGCCTAGCACTAGCTACATTAAAGCTGACATTGTTCACATCATGTCCAGTCATACCCAAGTACACAGTAAGCTCTATCATGATTCCATTTTAAAAACTGTAACTAAATGAGGTCCAAGACAGCAGAGGATCACATCCTCCTTCACTTCTAACCTGATCAAACACACATACCATCTTAAAAATATGATTTAATCTATATGTTAACCTGGAAACGTCTCCAGTTAATCTAGTATCCCCTTTTAAAGACACTCAGAACAGTACTGTACCATTTTCATGCAGGCCACCATTTAGAAATACCTGGTTTTAAGAAAGACAGGTATTAAGACAGGCAACCTTTAAGAGGTTATCATACTAACCTACATTACTGACACATTAGTAGATAGCAGTACATTTAAAGGGCTCAGAATAAGTTAAGCAATAGCTATCTTGATACACAAACAGGGCTGTATGAATATATCCTGACAACCAGAAATGCTAGAGAAGCCAGAGAAACATTAAGATTTTGAGCTAAGCCAGTTTTTAATGGGTGGAGTGGGATTCCCATAGTGTTCACACCCACTAGAGTGAGTGGCAAATAAGCAGCTGCCTTTCCACTGAAATTCTTTCCAATATTAAAGAAAGTACCAGAATTAATAGACACATTGTCTTAAAAATTCCTCTGCAGTAATAAACATATCCTTATCAAGTGACTCCACTAAACCTTGACAGCCTAAATTAAAGACATAAGCAAGCAAACAAAAAATCCAAAGCCACCACAGTATTAATGCTCCCCTGAGAGCTTCTGCAGGGACATTTTAGGTGAATTAGCGAGAAACATAATTCACAGAAGGCTACTCTGAATGACTGTAACCATCACAGGCGGCCACCCCCTATTCCCACCTCAACAGGCAGCAGTTTTTATGCACTCTTCCAGCGCGCAACGGTGACAAGAGAGAAAATAAAACAGCCCTTATCAGCTGCAAAGTTGTAACAGAGCAGACACGAGTACTCCGCAAAGCAACACCAACCTCAGCCCCCCCGCCACAAGCCATCACCCCAACCCTGAGAGCTTCTTTTCCTTCCTCCATCCGGTGCCAGCTCCAGAGGAGAGGTCACGGCGCCAGCCGGGCACAACCACGCCG